GTGGAAGACGTGTACGATAACCACGCATTGCATGAACAAGAACGATTAAATAAAATTTCAAACGGTTATGGAACAAAATATGTAACACTAAAAAAAAAAACGCAAAAATAGTAGCCTGGTAATAAATACTTTTCCGTATTATATCACAGAACAATGGCGACGGGCCGGAAACTCCGGTGTGGCTCATTTGAACGACCGAGAAGAGAAGAGAAGAGAATTGGTAACCAATAACTGGAGTTGACTTGAGAAGGACTAAAATACGGGGTGGCCACTTTGCTTCAGTCTTCCCTACATCCGAACGGTGAGCCATACAGCATATTACGAATGTAACTAAAGCTGCCGGGATGCCGCCACCTGTGTGCTTCGATAACAGCGCGGCGTGTCTCGGTGTCCCGGGGATACTGCCAGGTGGAACGGGCGCTGAATGGCTTCCCGAGGCGACCCAGCAGATAGAGAGATGATGAAAGAGCCAACGAAGTTTTTTAGACTTGGGCGACGTTATTCTGTACAATTGATCAATCGTCGTCGTGGCTTTGCAGCCTGGTCCGTCTATGTGGGCCGTAGGGCTAACGACACATCTATATCACGACATAAGCTGGGGCATAAACTTCTCTCGACATGCGGCTATGATGCCACCCAGCTGTAGCTCGGTTCCTAGACCACATAGAGGCAAGCGATAAGCAGCTTGCGAATAGAAGTTATCAATAGGCATTAAAAGAAATTTACCTGGCGGCTGGCATACACTCGTTTCATACCCTACATCCTGTCACTCATTCACGGAAGCTTTCAAAATAATCGCTTAGATGGTGTAGCAAGGGCAAATATGCAGGCATTGTTTATGGAGTGCAAAGGTCACTTTTACTGTGACCTGTTGCCTTTGTCTGGTTGAAGTTACCTAGAGTTCACATTTTAGCATGTGCGAAAAAGACGCATGATACGGGATTCAAAAACTTAAACTGCGCGTATAGGTGCCTCCGTTCATATCTATTCTCGCAAAGGGTAGGGGCCGGTGCGCCCATTACCTACAGCTTCCTTCGGGTACCACTCTGTCGGTACCCAGTAAAAAAACGAGTTATTTCCTTCACGAGGTTACACCGTATATTGATGAAAGACATCCATATTTACAAAGCTTGCGATTTATGTTGGTCTTACACCGGGTATAGAGCCGGACCAATGCATTCGTTTCCAGAGGAAACTTAATTCTCGAGCTACCCTACTTCGTAAACAACAGAGGAAGGTCGCTGCCAAACAAACGTTTAATTGCATTGCGCCGCATTGCTAGTTAAATGTAGTGTGTAAAAACATCAAATATTATGTGATTTTAGCTTGTCCTGGACAGATTGCTAACACGGTTGCTTTAGCATTGTTTTTCGACCAAACCTGTCGGTCACGTTCGGTACATAGGCATTACAATTCCAACGGCAGTCGTAGCCGGCACGGCAAAACATAACGATCGGCCTGTATTACAGAAAAAAAGCAAATAAGATGTTGTCCCGTCTATGAACAGCGATTACGTTAAACCGGCAGCAGAACGCGTGCAACATGTGAGATCATATCACCCGGGCTTAGATCTTCCGACAGTACCGATCAACGATAGCACACATCATCGGAGTCTCGGTCATCAATTGCTGACCGTCGCAGCTCCGCCGACCTTCCGAGGGATCACCTCATTTCTGACCAACACACAACCAGCGACGCCAAATCATCAGCATTCTCACTTTCCAGACGCGTTATCAGTGGGTGCAGGTTGACTAGAGACACTCAACAGTCAGCAACCAACTACCTTCAACCATCAAGGACCACGCGATTTTGCAGACCGTTATCCGCGAACCGCAGCGTCCAAGCCAGTCTGCTCGGCTCCACCTTTTCACCTCTTTCTTCTTTTGTCTTTGGCGTGAAGCTGTGCCGCTATTCTACGTCAGTCACAAGTGCGATCAGTTCTAATTGGATCACTCATTGCCGACGGGCCGACGCTGAGAGGTCCGTCAGAGCTTGTGGACGATATGCCACCGTCTCAGCTCACCCTATGTCTCTGTGAGCTCCACTCAGCCCTCAGCTCCATCGACTCTCGGCTCCCTCAGCTCTCAGCTCCATTGGCTCTCTGCCCTCAGCTCTCAGCTCCAGCTCTCCGCTCCATCAGCTCACATTTGCTCAGCTCCCAGCTCACCCAGTGCTGAGCACCAGCTCTCAGCGTACCCGTCCAGCCAGCAGCAGCAGCACCTGCAGCAGACAGCCGGGCGGGGAGACTCCCAGAGCCCGAACGCAGGCACGCAACACCAGCAGGGGGAGGCGGCCCAGGCTCGGCCGGTGACCGCCGTTCGACATCACTGGCGTGACCTCGGGTGATTCAGGCAGACGTTAGGTGACCTCAACTGACCTGGAGCAACTGACGTAGATGACCTCAGGTGAGCTTGTGTGACCCCGGTGGACGTATATGACCTTAGGTGACCTCGGCTGACCGCTGCAGACGCGGATGACCTTTGGTGACCTTGGCTAACCCGGAGCCTACATAGATGACCTCAGGTGACCAGGGAGGTAACTGATGACCTCGAAGCGGACTTTGACTGATCACTTGACGGAGAAGACTGTCCGGCGTCCTTCCTCAGATGCCGTCCATCTCACTGCCGTGATATTGGCTGCCCCCTGCCACGTCTACTGTGATGTGGCTGTCCATGCCGCTTTTCTCCTTCTCCGTCGACGTTGGTTACGGTTTCCATGGAAACGCCTCACAGAAGGCATCCCAGACACGACGTGAACATGCAGAACAGGCCGAGCACGTATCGCAGCATGGTGGCGGCTGCTTCACTCCAGCTGCCCTCAAGGAAGTCAGAGTTGACGGTCGTCCGGTGCAGAGAGCTGTAATAGCTGGGATTCACCCACAATAGCGGTGGTTCTGGCGAAATCCTTCAGACGGAGCCCAGTCGATCCAAGGATGAGTTCCGACAGGTAGATCTTGCACTGAGCACTGAGAGCTTGTTGACCGATGTCTCAGCTGTGAGGTCTCGGAGAGTTTCGAACCTCAGCTGATGATCTCGTCGGCTCTCTGTACCTCAACTTCAGGACTCTGGTAGCTGACTGAGGTGACTTCTGACGACCGACCGGAGCTGACTGAAGCTGACTGCGGCCACATCCAGAGCTGACTAAGCCGACCCTCCTCCGAGACCGTCTCTCTCCCGACTGCCGTCAGCGCGCGGTGCTGGCAGAGGTGCCGACCCGCCGGCCGGGAGGTCTCAGCGGGAGGCACCTGCCGCACCTCCCGCCGACCGGGACTCCAGGAGCCGGGCTGGCCCAATTCACCCCGCACGGTCACCGGGTTTAGCCCAATCTCTTGGGAGGTGACCTCCCAGGCCGCTGCGGCGGTGGTGGCCGGCACAAGTATTTTGGGCTCTGTGGTCTCGCTGGGGGAGGCGGTGACGGCGAACTTTAAACAGCGCGGGAGGCGAAGCCGGCGGAACTTTAAACTGTCCGGGAGGCCGGCAGCAGGCCGGCTGCCAGTGAATGAACGGGGCTGGGCGCACAGTGCACAAAGGCCACTTTGTTCCATGCTGTATAGGGATTAAAATTACGTGTATTTCATTATTATTGTCGTCTTTTTTACGGCACAATTATGTCTTTGGCAATGCACGCGTTCGTTCAAGCATTACAATGACGATAAACTCGAATTTTCGCTAGCGTTATCTGGAATGTCAATTTTAAATGAATTTAAGTTAATTGAAAGTGTGCACATACAATGGTTTGCCGTTAGGTATGTGCAATGTGCATAGAAGTGGCCGGAAAGGTGACCTGAGCGGACCAAACGTTTTCGTACCTAAGCATCACGATTTACCATCAGTTACATTTATATATTTTTTCCAAATTATGATATAGCGATAATTACAGCCGAATATTAGGGATTATTTAGGCATTAAACACGAGCTTGATATAAATGCAAGCCTAAATGCAAGCTTGAGGTAGGTAGATAAACAACACTGTGCATAGTGTTAATGCTACCAACTATTATTTATGGTCGCAAATTTTTTGCCTTCAAAATTCATCGATCAATCGAGTATCGTGTCTATATTACAGGGATATCTCCCTCAGCTCCCAGGCCTTACAGCACCTAGATGAACGACATTCAGGTGTTTGAAGTGATTGTGTTTTATACGAAGAAGGCCCAGTTTCGTTTTCTCTCATTGCCTCTTTCTCATTTACCTATAGTAAAATTTGCCGCGAAATTCACCCGATCGTTATGAGCCAGCGATATCGAAAACCTGAAATGCCTTGGCTTAGGTTTCAACACCTTACCACCCTAATTATTCGCTGAAAATTTAAAAGGTTTACAAGCAATCTTTTGGTCGGTGTAACGTCAGCACTTATTTGATGGGGCCTGACCTTGCCCTGGTGACCTGACTTCCCAGGACCTCGCGTGCTAAAACTTTGTAACAGGTGCATTAGCGGACCACGTCATCGGCCGATCCCGTTGTCTTCCCACGTTATATTGTCAGCGATAGATTGGTCAGTACTCAGTGGTCACTGGTGGCGCTTGAAATATGAGGAACCGGAGTCAGAATCGTTATCGCCGATGCATTTTGTCCCGACCCAGTTTTCCAGTGCACGAGCGCACGGGAACCGTCTGTTTTTTTTTACGGCATACCATTCATGTTTTCTGGTGATGTTTATGATGGTGGCTTTGCTAGACCTTAGCGTGCAGAGGCTCCGAATTCGGGTATCGATGTTCAACGATTGGCTTCATAATCCACCACTAGCATTACGCAGACAAACCTATGTCTGAAAGTGTTCTATTTCAACTTGGACAGTATTGCTGAGTTGGCAATGAAGTGCTCGCCATAAGCCACTACTCATAGTTTGTGTTCACATTACAAGGCACATACGTTCCTTCTGTACGGCGGCAAGAACATTTATCATATCACAGCATGTGATAAGGCCTACATGATTCCATCCCATTATCCACTTCATTCATCATATATCCCTTTTGTGAATGCCACACCAGACGCAAATACCAAATTGATACAAAAATTGTACTTGGAAAACATTGACACTGATATTTACATAGCGAGCTGACGTGGGCGGCGGCGCGGCGCGGGCTACACGCCCGTCTGGGTGTCACTGGCGATCAGCTGGCGGCGCTTCCACACCGTCGGCGACGCGCTCTCGGACTTTTTCAGTTCGTACACGTTGGCAGTGACGCTGCGGCCGGCCGGCCGGCGCGTCCGCCGCGGCGGCGCCTCGGCCTCGGCGGCTCGGCGGCGCACGCGCGGCTCGGCCGGCGGCGACTCGGCGGCGGCGGCCGTCTGAGGGCGCACGCGCCGCACCGGCGCCGGCGCCGCCACCACCGTGTGCTGCGAGATGTTGGGCGACGTCCGCGAGCGAGCCATCTCTCCGCCGCCGCCCGAGGGTAGCACGAGCTGACCGAGCGTCACGTGATCGGCGGGCTGCGGCCGGACTCGGCGGCGCGGCGCGGCCGCCGGCGGGCCGCCCTCCGAGCCCACCGAGCCGGTGCTGTCGGCGGACGGCGAGCGCACCACATTCAGCTGTGGCCGCGCCGGTTCACCCCCAGCCGTAATGACGAACCCTCGCTCTCCGACCTGGCCGGAGACGGAGCGCGCCAGCGGCTGGATGCTCAGCGATCCAGTGATGGGCTGCTCGGAGCAGTGGGAGTCGGAGCTGCTGGACCGGTGCCGCTGCCGGCTGTCGAGCACTGGCGCCGAGTCGCGCTCCGTCAGGAACACGTCGTCCAGGCCGGACACAGTCTGACACTCCTCGATGTAGGGGATGTCGTCGCCCGCACCCGTGGAGCTGAGCGCGCCCGTCGACGCCGGCGCCGGGATCGTCAGACTGGCCGTGATGACGCCGCTGACGTCCAGCTCGGGCGAGCTGAGCCGGCGCTCGCAGCGGCCGGTCAGCTGCGGCGCCGGCGCGGCCACCGTCTGGTCGGAGCTGCTGCGCTGGCGGGGCGTCGGTCGCATCAGCAGCGGCCGGTCCGCCGCCTGCAGACTGCCGCGCCGGCCGCGCGGCTCCGAGCCGGAGTCGGACGCTTGTGAGGAGGATTTGTCGCGGCGCCGGAACCAGCGCGAGGTGGCCGGCCGCTCCTCGGAGCTGCGCTGCTCCTCGGAGGCCTGCCGAGTGGAGCTGGACGAGCGCACCCTCCGCCGGAACCAGCCCCCGCCTCCGCCTCCCCCGCCTCCGGCCAGGTCCTCCCTCGACCCGGACTTGTCCCGACGCCGACTGCGCTCCCGACCCGAGTCAGCCTCCTGGCGCCGCCTGGCGGCAGAGAGCGGAACGAGCGTCAACACAGTCTGACGCGCTGGCGCTGCAGTGGAGCTCAAAGGCTGAGGGAACGGGCTGATTTTGTTTGTTTTTGTTTGTTTTGTTGGACTAGGCCCTTTCGGTCTGGCGAGACCATTTCAGGGCTGGAAGGATGATAGGAATTAGGGGAGACATTGGTCTGGGCGAGCACCCTGGTGAGTCGCCGGGGCTGAGCCCACCCGAAAGGACAGGCCGACCAGCCCCCCAAGCACTCACCGCACCCGGCTACGGGCGTGCTCTTACGGGCAATACCGCATGGGATAAAGTTGCCTGTCCAGCCCGGAGCAGGGGAAAGAGGCGTGGAGGAGAAAGATCTGTCTGTCCTGAGGATGAAAAACAGGGAACGGAGGAGCGGGCTGAAGTGGAACGTGATCGAAAGTGACTTCCAGAAGATCAGACAAGGCAGGCACTCAGTTTGGTTGCGAACAGCATGATAGGGTGTAATCGCTCAGTAAATTCGCCCCTTATACTTGGTCATTTAGGCATTAAATCTAATCAACCTTCGAAAAAACTTCTGACCCGTTCCACGTCACTTCCACGCTCACTGCTCTCTCGACACGTCCCCAAACCGTTTCGGAGTACCTATACGGTGATAGAAGAGCACTGACCTAAATCTGCGAGATCTTTCCGCGGTGGGTTTGCTGACAGTGGGTTCTTGAGGCGCTGGTTCTCGTTTTCTTCTTCTCAGCTCGTCGCCGCCGTCCCGCGTCCTGATGGTAGTCGAAACGTTTTTCAACCGTTTTAACTAGAGATTCTCCGTCAAGACGCTTTCCCATTTCAAATGACATATGCTAATAAACTATGAAAAGTATTGCTAGATTTAGCGTTCGAATGTGCCGCCTAATGAAATAGATGCAACGAAATAGCTCGATGCGGCATAATTTATAACTAAATATCATCATCTTTTAGTTTTACTTAATGGTTCAGTAAACAAACTGCAAATGCAACACCCTTGCCGTATGCGTTTTACTTAATTCGTCCTCACACTATTCGCTTGGTTAATTCGTAATTCGAGCAATTACACTGGCGGATCCAGACTTGCGTTTTGGGGGGGGCCAACTCCTGCAAGTAACCAAACCTAGGGTACCCCCAAATCCTGTTTTCTCATCGGATTTAGGCCACTTATTTTTTCGTCACAGCCCTGAAACGATAATTTTTTTTTTTTAAACTAAAAATAAAAAAATAGAAATGGTAGCCCACCCAACCCGAGCCTAAATATTACTTTGAAAACACTTCAAATTGCTTTTGTCGACCAATTAGCCCGCTCCGGGTCGGTGCGTGGCGCAGCCTTCGCGGGCTGGGAGGTGTCGGTTGAACCCCCTGCCGTTCGGCTAGAGCTCGCGGAAAAAAACAGGCGTGTTGCCCGTGAGTGACGAGACGAAGCCGATGATACCCGATTTTAAGGTCCTTGGTCATTGGTTGACCTTCCAGGGCGGTGTTTCACGGTCGTGCTGACAGCCGCTGACAGCGCATTCCGCGAGCTAAGGTCAGCCTTCGGTAGTGTTGTGGGTATAGGCTTGTTGATGTCTCCATTGAAACCAAAAGTGCCATCAGCGCTGGCAGCGGCTGGCAGCGTGCCGTGAAACACCGCCCAGGTCAGGTCACAGACCCAAAAGACGGGAAAATCAGGACCTGTCAGAACCTCCTAAAGTAAGGCTGTAATACTTTTTTTGTGCTGATCACAAATTTCATGTTAGTTTGGATCATAGATAATGTCTTCATGCGTTTAGACCATGTCGGGGCAGGTCAGGTCAGATCAACCAGTGGGAGTACTTATGGGCGTCCGTATAGCAGGTGTCCACTACCACTGGCAGCTACGTAACATGATACGAAGGCATCAAAACTACTTCGTAAATGTTCAAATGGCTGCAAAATGCTAAATTCAAAATCAGCTAAACGAAACTATCCTAGAAACATGTTAAACTCGGAAAAGTGCACCGAGGTCATCAAAGGTCAATGACCTGACTTGACCGTAAGGTGACATTGGCATCCGCCCTAATGCGTGGGAGCAACATCATATCACATGTTTGAGCGTTTTAAACCACGAAAAGACTATAAAAGCGCGGATAATGTGAGCCGACATACGCCGAATCGCTATTCCGGCCAAACATGGCCTCCAACATGGCCAAACAGTCTCGAGAAATAGGCCACAAGTCAAAGTTCACTTGGGTCAGGGTCATGAAATTTTCAGACTTTGTCACCATGAGGGTACTAAAGTTTCGTCGCGATCGGCTTCATGATACCTTACACGATAACTTCACACGTCGATCGAGAGTTAAAGCATGGATGAAGGAGAACCAGGGGATGAAGGTTCTTTCATCCATGGTTAAAGTGTGCAATAAGAACTTCTTGGGTGAAGACAAGACCAACACTTTTATCAAGCTCACAGATTTTTAATGATACGGTATTGTCTCTCTACCTACTACGCCTTTCTCACATTCATTTTTCTTAAATGTTTTTGGGGACAAAAAATATATGTTGTTCCCCTTTCAGGCTTGGGGGCATGACCCCGTGGCCCCCCTGGATCCGCTAGGCCGAAACTAACTAGGTCGTTTTCAAACGGTCTGATATTTCAGGTCATAGTTTGAAAACGGCCGGTGTTTTCAGGTAGTTTCATATGGCCTGACTGGGCCAGGCCGTTTGCAAACGGACCGAATTTTCATACGGCCTGTAACATCTATTCAGATTTCGACATCTGTCGTAGCATCAAATGCTGATGTGGCGCACTCAAAAGCCGGAATTGGTCCTTGGATGCCGTAAGGACCCTTTTAAGAAATAAGTGACCCGACTGACCCTTAGAGATTGGCCTGAGCTGTGACCGAAATAAGTCTTTTACCGTTTCGCAGGCAGGGACAAAAAGGTCCCTCATATGCTTCTTGTACAATTACGAAACAAAACAAGTTTTTTTTTTCAACGAAAACTCAGTGAGTTTTCCTAAAAAATTTATTGCGCATATTCCGTGAATGAAAAGCTGCCGGGTCATGTCAGGTCAGGCTGCCACAGCAAGTTTGTTAACTTGACAGCTCAATCGATATTTATGCAATAAGACCTTCTCGGGTGACGATAAGACATGACGACACTTTATGAAGGAAGCTAGTAAACCCGGTAGTTTCTCCATAGGCGCGGGAACCGGGGGGAGGGGGCAGTGGTGGCAGCTTGCCCCCCCCCCCCCCCCAACTCTGGGGCCGTGCGGGCGGTGCCCCCACAACTTTCAGACAGAATACCGCTCCTTTTTGCAAATGTTTTTTTTTTTGTTGTTGAAAAAGCCAAGGGATGAAAAATAAGTGGCCTAAAACCGGCGAGAAAACTATATTTGGGGGATCCTAGGTTGATCTCTATCATGGTGTGACCTCCCCCCCCCCCCCGTCTAAAAGTAGTTCCCGCGCCCCTGGGTTTCTCTACGCTATTGAATCACGCTGCTGATTCCAGTAAGTATCTACTACACAACCTTCTCACATTAATTTTTCTTCGAGCGTTTTGGGGGGCCAAAAGATATGTTGGCCCCCTCTTTCAGGCTTTTTGGGCCCATGGCCCCGGTGGCCCCCTTGAATCCGCCAGTGGGGGCGGTGCCCCCACAACTTTCAAACGGAATACCGTCCTTTTTTGCAACTGTTTCTTTTTTTGTTGAAAAAGCCAAGGGATGAAAAATAAGTGGCCTAAAACCGGTGAGAAAACTAGATTTGGGGGGACCCTAGGTTGATCTCTATTATGGTGTGCTCCCCCAGTCTGAAAGTAGTTCCCGCGCCCCTGACTTTCTCTACGCTATTGAATCACGCTGCTGATTCTAGTAGGTATCTACTACGCAACCTTCTCACATTAATTTTTCTCCAAGCGTTTTGGGGGGGGGCCAAAAGATATGTTGGCCCCCCCTTTCAGGCTTTTGGGGGGGGCCATGGCCCCGGTGGCCCCCCCCCTGGATCCGCCAGTGAGCAATTATCAGTGCAGCGTTAGTATTTATTTATTTATGATAAAATCATTTATCGGCAAATAAATCGGCGCTGCATTTAAACGGTACCAGTTCTGTGACTGGTGCAGCTCCAGAGAGTTGGCTGTTATACTGACCGTTCCCGATCGGTGGCGGTCGCCGGCTGCGAGCCGCCCTCACTGCACTCGAACACCGAGCTGCTCGTGTCCAGCTCCAGGTCGACCCTGTCGCAGGCCAGGCCACCGGGGTCAGACACAGGTGAACAGATACCGTCAGGGTCACACACACCGGCTGGGAGAGACGGGGTCATTTGAAGGGCAGAGGCCAATCTAAAGTCACACGGTTCCGGATGCTCTGCAAATAACTGGAAAGAAACTTCAGAAAAAAGATCCAAGTGTATGAAAAAGACGTTCTGTGTGGAAACACTGGTTCAGGACTTCGATTTCCGTGTAATCATAAATAAAACTATGCGATCTAGAGGATTCCAGTCTTCGAGAAAGATAAAGGTGTACAGCGATCACTAGAAAAGAGCTAGTGAAAATGGCGGAGGACTTTATACTGGTGTTCAAATGGTAAAAAGAAGCTTTTAACACATTCAAGACACATTGAAAAGTTATCGAACGACGAACCAGCATAGAACAAGTAATAGAAAAGTTCAAGCTTTGGAGACAATATAGAAGGATTTTGTGCTGGCAGTAAGCAGTTCGAATGCTTATTTGACGTCTTGCTATCATGTAAGTGATTTTTTTTCGTGTGGCACCTTGCGGTAATGCTGCTGAAAATCATTCAATGTGATGATGTTGTTGTTGTTGTTGTTTGCTCGATTTTATTGAATATTTTCGCATATATAAACATAAGGCAGTCTGGGATCGGTGCAAAAGCTGTTCAGCTTATTTCATGGCACCTCTCCCTCACACACTCTGGCTCGTTCACACATCATTCACGACAAAAAAAAAACATCGGGTGCAACACAAATAATGACAAATTGAAGTTTTAATAATCGAATTAAAAGAAAAATACAATGAAAAATTAAATACACCTAAAAAGTATAAAATAATCGTTGGTATCAACTAAGTTACGTATAAAGCATGAGTAACTAAAGTAATGCTGCCGCCTCTGAGGTAGTTTACTGGCGATGTCCGCAAGGAAGGGCCGCTGTCACCGCCGCACGGCCACGCCGCCGCCAGCCGCCGCCGAATTCCTGATGGTGAGGGATTTTTCAATGTAGCTCTGGAAGCACTCGGCGACGCGCCGACCGTCCTCTGCGCTGAGGGATTTGCCGTGGAAGAGGATGTCAAATTTTTGTTCTGATGGAAGGTGTGTGAAGTTTTCAATTGTTTCGGAGAGATCGGTAAATAAATTATCTCTCAACGACTGGTACAGTGGACAGTATAGAACGAAGTGTTGGACATTTTCGGTACGGAAGCCACATGTACAACAGCACGATTCTGATTTTTGAATTTGATATAGGTATGCATTTAGCGGTAAAGTTGCGGTTCTAATTTGTGTATGAAGCATATTTCTAAATTTACTGCCAAATGAGTAGTATGCAGGGGGAGAAGGGCAGCCCCACAGTTCGACGATGCCATTTACAAAGGTTGAAAGGCAGGGTTGTTGTCGGATTGAAGTTGGAAGTTGGTTCCATTTCCTGACGGTGCTTGGTATGAATGATCTTTGGAATGATGTTGTGTTATTTGCAGGGAGAGTTCGGGCGTTGGCGTTTCTTGTGTTTCGTTCTGTGTCTGTGATACGTGTTTGAGGTATGATTGTTTTGATGTACTCGGGTTGTGTGTCTGGACGATGCATTATTTTGTGGAATAGGATTAATTTGTGTTGTTCTCGTCTTGCTTTCAGTGTTCCCCATCCTGTTTCTAGTCTCAGTTTGGCAGTAGAAGTCCGGAAAGGTGTACCTGTCATCAGTCTTGCAACTCTATTTTGAAATTTGTCAAGTCGAAATTGGTCGTGTGTTGTCAAGAGTCCGTCAAAAGCTACGTCCGCATAATCGTGAAATGGTCGAATGTAAGTGGTGTATAGGCTGTTTATTGTTGATCGCGTCAAATGTTTTGCTAGTGGACATATTGGACTTAGCGCCTTGTTCATTTTTTTAAGTATGGTGTTAGTGTGCTCGTGAAACCGAAGATCTTTAGAAAACATTAATCCCAGGTGCTTATGGCTGTCTGACACAGATATACGTTGACCGCCGAAAGTGAGGATGGGAGGACTTATTCCAGTTTTACGGGTGAAAAATTGTTGAGTAGTTTTTGTTGGATTGAAGGAAATTGCCCATTGAGTTCCATAGTCGTAAATTGCGTCCAGGTCTCGTTGTAATGATTGTCGAACTAAATCAGCGTTTTGTTTACTTTGTGGTGCGTATAAAGATGTGTCGTCAGCGTACAAGAGAATGTCGTTAGTCACTTTCGTTGTCAGTCCGTTCAAGTACATTAAAGCAAGAAGAGGTCCGAGCACTGATCCTTGTGGGCAGCCGGATTCAATGTTTTTTGTCGAAGAAAAGTCATTGCCAATACGTACTCTTTGTCTTCTGTCTGAAAGATACGATTCTAGCCAGGAAAGGAGAACGCCAGATATGTGAAATTCGTGTTTGCATTTAAAGAGAAGTCCTTTGTGCCAAATTTTGTCAAAGTACTTTGAAATGTCAAGAAAGATTGCTGTTACGTCGCGTCCCTCGTCTAAATTTTTATATATGTTGTGTGTCAGGTACGTTAACTGAATTTCGGCGCTGTGGTGCGGACGGTATCCGCTTTGTTTGTCCGAAAGAAGACTGTGTTCTGTGAGGTGATCATAAATTGAAGAGAACACAATTTTTTCAAGAATTTTCGACAGACAAGGAAGGAGACTTATTGGCCGGTATTGTTTGGCGTCAGATGGAGAGCCATTTTTCTTAAAGATAGGTGTAACTGTTGCTTCCTTCCACATAGTTGGAAATGTTCCGGATCTTAAGGATTTGTTGAACAGTAAAGTGAGTGGTTTAACTATTAGTATGGCTGTCATTTTTATAATTTGTGTGGGAAGTTTGTCAGGACCAGTAGATTTGTTCACGTTGAGGGTGTTAAGAATTTTGAGTACTTGATTTTCTGTGACAGTTATTTGTTCTAAAGCTGGTGGCGTCTCAATGTCGTGGTTTCGATCGTCGTTCTGTGTTGGAGTGAGAGTCAGTCCGGTCGTGTCTGTTGTCGCTTGTGAAACAAAATAGTCGTTCATTAGGTTTGCCTTTTGCGTGTTGTCTGTGATAGCTTCATTGCGCTCATTTTCTAAGGGTGGGATGGCGTCGTGCTGTTTGCGGCCAATTAGTGTTTTCAGCGTTTTGTGATATTTGTATGGGTCGTGCCTGTATTCCAGTAATTTGTCGACGTGTCTTTGTAAGTATGCGTCTTTAAGTCTTTTGTTGAGTGCCGTTGTCTTGTTTCTTTGGTCTCGCCATTTTGACCAGTCGTGTGTCGTCTGTTTTTGTTTTGCTATTTGGAATAGTCTATCGCGTTTGCGCACGTTCCTTTTCAACTCGGTCGTCATCCACGTCTTATCGTTGAGTCGTCTTTTAATTATTTTCTTCGGAATACAGTCCGCCGCTGCGTTCAAGATCGTCTGAGTGAACTTCTCTGTAGCGTCATGTATGTTTTCTTGGTCGATGAAATTCCAGTCGGTCTGCATTAGTATGTTTGTTAGTTTGTTAATATCTGTACGACTGTAGTCCCAGATAAGCGTTTCTTGAGTTCTTGGAAAAGACGTTTTTTCTATGTTGAGAGTGACAAAAATGGGAAAATGATCAATATGTGAGAATGAGGAGAGTGTACCCGTTTCTGTTATCGTTTGTATGTTGTTAGTTATAACCAGGTCACGTAGGTTGGAAGTCGTATCTGTCATTCTTGTCGGTGTATTGATAAGCTGTGTTAGGTTTAAAGTATCGATTGCGTCTTTCAGTCGTCTGTCAAAAAGTGTTACTCCGCTGTGAGGGTCGGCACTGTCAAGGTAAATGTTACCTGCGTTAAAATCGCCCATTACAATTATTGTAGCGTTAGGGATTTGTTGTGCTGATGTTATGCTGTTTGTTAGATTGTTAATAAATGTCTCTATTCGGTCATTACTGGGGTTTGGAGGCAAGTAAAGGGCACATGTCAGTATTAGTTCTCCGTTAATTTTTGTCTTTGTCCAGACCCACTCCTCCTCTGGGCTGTCAAGTTCGAGGTACCTACATGTTGAAGTATGATTTCTTGCGTAAATTGCCACTCCTCCTCCGTGGCGAGTGCGGTGCTTTGTAAATGGTGAGTGGAAGTCTGGAATTTTGAAAAGGCTTTCGTGCACTGTTTCATCTAGTTTTGTCTCGGAAAGCGCCAAAATGTCTAAGTTTTGTTCTTCGACAAATGATATCAGCTCATCTAGTCGCCCGGCGGCTGTGATACTATTTATATTAACATGACAGATTTTAAAAAGATTTTGTGTTGGTCCTGGATTAGATTCGATGCCGCTCATTAATAAAAGCGTTTCAATGTCGTTGTGCATACTGGTAAAGCGAAATGATTTGTAGAATGTTCCTGCGTTAAACTTCTGTGATCGAGAACAGACTGACGGGTCGTGTGGCGTTGGTTCTTTTCTTCGTGCCACGGAATGTCGGTGTTGTGAATGGTTATAGAGGAATTTGGAGGGGCCGTGGTGCTGAGGTGCTTGTTTGGATTTAAGTGTAGCTTGCCTGGAGGTAAAGGTTGGTGTAAGGATGGAAGGAAGTGGAGCAAAAAAGGATGAACCAATACCATCGCCGAACAGCGGGACGCCCGCTCCCCCGCCGCCAATGAGTGTTGCCGGTGTAGTCGAAGTGAGGTGAGTAGCAGAGGACGGCCGGGGCGCCGACCGAGCGCCTCCAGGCTGGTTATGGCCGTGAGAGACTCCGGCGGTTCGGCGGCGGCGGCCGGCCGGCGGCAGCGACGCAGCCTGAGGACGAGACAAGACCGCCAGCAGCAACGGTGATGAAACTAGGAGACAGCGAGCGCAGGTGGTAAGTTAAGCACATACTAAATCAGGCACTATAGCAAAGCAACGAAACAAAAATTGATAAACACAGACATCAAACATTCGATACAATCTTTCTGATTTGGTCTGCGGAGATGCACCTAGCCAAATGACATAAGTAAGACAAGAAAACAATGTGACTAGTTGCGATTGGACATTGGTGTGGACTAGAGATGCCACAAATTTGCAATTTCATTACCCGCCCCGCCCCGCAGCTACCCCTTGCCCAACCACAACTACCCGCAAGCTGCTTTTAGCTGAGCCGAACCCGCAAAAAAACCCGCAATTTTAAAAACCTGCTATTGCAAGAAAAAAATACAGCTGGGTCAATGCTAGAGCTATATAAACCTTACTTGCTTGATTGTTGTGCAGAAAAAGACAGCCAAACAAATAGTAAGGACTTGAAATTGCTATGCTAAGTCCTCAGGAAGTGCACACTGGATAGTGGACAATGAATAATGCATCAATACATTTGAAATTCCTTTCTGAAAAGAGTTCAGTAAAATCTTTCTCTCACCTTACCCTTCAGCATTGGCTGAGGATCAAAATTTCACTCTGGCTCCCTCTCAATGTTAGGCTTCTTTGTTATCAAAATGAATGTTGATATAAAAAGATATGCGATTTCCAGTTAAAAATAAATAGTAACACGGTGAATAATGAGTATCCAGTCGATCTACACATACAGCAAATGCAAAATCCCAGCAAAAACCAACTAACCACCAATGAAACCACGCATTTCTGGAAACATGCGTCAGAAGCGTCACCAACAGCTGATTGCAAGGAATGTTACAGCGAAATTATTGCGGCCGTAGTTAGTGCGAAATTGTTGCGAAAACACCGTTGTATAATGCATTTTCATGTGCCATTCTGATAAAATTATTTTACACAACAGGTAAGTTTTACAATTCAGAGGTTAATCACCGGTTAAGAAATGAAGAGAGTAGACAGTAAATACTAAACTAAATGTAATAATTTTATAGATGGTCTTGCTTGGTAATGCCCTCCGGCTGGTCCTCTCTCGGCATACAAATGATAAGGACGTAAAAAGACAAAAGAAATAAATGCGACCAGCTACGTGGTTTCTGCTATTTTGAGGTATTCAAAAACCAAGAAAGAAAAATTGATTGTAAAATTATTGCGTCATCAATGACAGCTTTCCTTCGCCTCAGAGACCAAAATTGACGCAGTCAAATGCCAATCCTTGTTAGAATGTCGGAAGTGCGCCAGTATTGTATTGCTTTATGTTTGGGCCGTATGCCAGTCAATATTTTGATTTTTTGTAAGGGTAAGTGGTGTGTTATTTTCGTAATACCTATAGGGTGGAACAGAACATAGAGTAGGATAGGTACCTAGAATCAATGAATTTGCATCAAATTTTGTTTAGCTGATAGCTCTTTTTTATGCCGACCAGACGCAAATAAAGTAACATGTGGCATTTGCTCTGATTTTTAACATCTCATTTAAGTCTGGGTTCTTCCATAATGTATATCTAGTGCACACTGCACATAGACTTCAGTTCAGCTTCCTATAAGTTTCCTTTCAGGTTCTTCTATGTTTTATGGAATGCTTTCATCAGCATTTATTTATGCTTTGTAGTTTGTTTCTTGTACCCTGGTTTGGTCATTGCTAGGCTGTGGATGCTATTGCTGGTTGTTTTCAGTTTTGCATTTGAAATGTGCTTCCTTGATATATTTTTATATTTGGTTCTGTTTAAAAAGTTGTTTTGATGAATATTGTATTGTTAACCTGAGCAAATGCACTTGGCATTGTGTTTTGCATCTAAAAAAAATCAAAAATAAAATAAAATTTATAGGCTCTTAAGTCTGACCGCCAAATACCCGCCACACGACAAGTTTTGCTTCTCGAACCCGCCAAAAACCCTGCGGGTTTTGAAAACCCGCAGAAAGCGGGTTCGCGGGTTCAAAAGTGGCATCTCTAGTGTGGACACTGTTTATCCCGGAACGTTCCCACCCATCCCTCCCAGCTCCAGTCCCATCGCCCTCCCGCCCCCACCCCGTCTCTCTCAGACGCGAGCGCTCTAGTTCTCCCCGCTCTGTCGGTCGGGCCGCACACGAGAGAGGGAACCAATCTATGTGTGTACCTATTGATAATATGCTCCTGGGCCCCGCCGATTTTTCTGTGGCTGATGACTATCCATCGAGCCACGGTGACTATCATCGAGCCATGAGAACGCAGTGGTTAGACTGCGCCGCCTTACACCGCTGCGATGCGGTACAGCCTACCTACCAGGCAGCTCCGGCGAGGCACCTCCCATTAGACGCGTTTACATAGAGTTTGTTGCAAGCTTATATCTCCGTCCGTGATATTGCAAAAGATGCCAATGGTGCTTAACAATTTACAAAATGATCCCCTCTAAATATTTGAAGACCACTGCATCGAAATTATCGCCAAATAAACGAGCTAGAGCCTCGTCAAAAATGCTATGTAAACGCGACTATTGTTCGTCGGTAAGGGTACACGGATGATATGGAGTTTTACTTACATTTTCATGGTGTTTATCATTGGTAAGTACGTCGGAAAAGGGTACATAAGCGACATACATATGCATCGCGTGATCGGAAACTCTTAGAATTTCGTCTTATTCACAATGTTATAAGATTAGAAAAGGATTGCACTAAGCTGGGCATAAAACAAATTATATCTCTGTATCTCCCCAGCGTTCAATGCAACCTTGACGAGCTACCTCCTTCGCAAGCAGCAACTTTATGCTAAAAAATAAGCCTGATATGCTTTTTCATATTCCTTTTCGTAAGAATTTCAATATGGGAGTGCTCGAATTAGCGTGCGTGAATAAATGAAGAGAACAAGAGAGGCGACAGTTTCAGCAAAGAACGATAGTAAACAAGTAAATGGGTTAGAACTAACTTACAACAAAATAAGGTAGGACGTCGATGCGTGGGGAAGTTGGGGGAGCGGTATATCATGGGGCTGGGAGGGGGAGGGGGAGGGGTCACGACACGCACGGCATGCTGTTGTTAGCTCACGTTGTCAGTGGTCGGCGGGCACATTCACAGGTGTCAGTGGTCGCTAGGCGAGCCGCGCTTATCTACAAAAAAACGGAAACGGACCAGCGTCAGTCAACGTGCGTGCTAAACGTGGCCGGGCCGGGAAGTGACGTCACAGGGGCACTCGTTAAATGTCGTCAATGGGTGCTGTTTAGCGAATCCAATATTGTACATCTTAACCCTATTAGTGGCAGGGGGGGGGGGGGTGTTTTTATCCACCCCTCAGGTTTTTCGGGAATATCTCCGAAACCGCTGAAGCTACGATGCTGAAATTTTCTGACTTTTCCTAAAACTAAATTGGGCACATTCCCTGAAAATTTCAAGTTCATAACTTTACCAGGGGCGGCTCCAGAGCACTGGGAATTGGGGGGTCCTATTCGTGAAGCGAGTCATTTGGGCGAAGATCACGATTCTGCACCAGTTTTACGAACAGTGAATGAAAGGTATCATGTGATAACATATACAAAGTTATTGTGCATCCTCTTTTGACACGTTTTTGCTATAATAGGCGGATCCAGGCGTCCAAAAAGGGGGGTTATTTTTTACCTCCCAACATAGGTGCCCTGACACCGCCTATGCATGACCAATACAATTTTAGTCGTTCTCTCATAAGAAAATTGTAACATAACAAGACCATTGCCACCCTTTTTGGAAACAGTACCAACAAAAACCTTATTTACTATACTTTTTGTGTACCCCCAATCTCAATGATCTGTATCCGCCTATGATTTTTGAAAATGCATATTTTTAGGATCCATGTGAATTCCTGGTTCATTCTCTATCGATCGGCAAAAGTTGCGTTAAGATTGGTTCAGAAACCTGGCCGTGATAAACAGTCTAAAATGTATCTGCAATTTGCCCGTTTTTACCCCCCTCTACCCCCCTATTGACATTTTTTAATTTTTTTTTTGAAATGTAGATCTCGTTGAGCCAAATCGAATGCCGTTTGAATTTTGAAAATCGGCCGGTTAGATCTCGAGATATCAAGGGGGGGGGGGGTCGTAAACAGCCCCCCCCCCCTGCCACTAATATGGGGTAGCCAGGAGCCTGCCACTAATAGGGTTAAATGCAATTAAGTTTGTTGCGACCATGTATTACTATAGGTAGGTATATGCTATGCTATTTATTTATTTACATTTTATTTTAACCAAATGACTATAAGCATCAGCCAAAGCTTGTTTGAAACATTTTGTGTTAGTTACGTTGAGTGTTTAAAGAAGTGTATGTTTGAAACAAAACATGCTTCGATTTTTCCATTTTCGAATCGGAAATTGTTTCATAAACAAAATCCAGATAGGTGTAAGAATGTGTAACAGAGATTGAGAATATTTATATGATACGTTCACGATAATGTGTTGTAAAAACTGGAAATGATAGTGATCTTTTTTTAGAGGATAACGTCAGAAACAAACAACAAAACAAGCGAAGACATAGATGATATAATTGTTAGGATGTAATGAAACATTGTGTACGAGCAATAGATGCAGTTAGTGTTCAAACACAGTCACAAGGTTTCGCAGTTTTTCTATAAGGACTTGACAAAACACATAAGAAACAAGGCTTGACGGGAAAAAACTGACGTTAGTCCAGGTCGGATCCGGGTCCCGACCGGATGAGGTCAGATCCAGGTCAGGTCAGGTCAGGTGCGGACCGGATCAGGTTAGGTCAGATCAGGCTGGGTCAGCTGCTGATCTGCACTCACAGATCCGGGACTAGTGAACCGCCCTGGTCAGGACCGGGTCAGGTCAGGTCAGCTGCCGTAGTGCACTCACTCATCCGGGACTTGTGAACCGCCCTGGTCAGGACCGGGTTAGGTCAGGTCAGCTCAGGGTCAGGTCAGGTCAGCTGCCGTAGTGCACTCACTCGTCTCCGGGACTGGTCAGCCGCCGCCGCAGCAGGACGTCCAGCGCCTCGGGCTGCTTGTCCATCAACAGCTGATAAGCCTCGTGCAGCAGCTCGGCCGACACCTGAGGTCAGCAGGTCACATATAGGTAGTCATAGGGGGCCAAGGGTCACGTTGGTGACGGATCGTTAGTGACTTTCATAAGGGCGGCGAAATTAAACTGTTCTGCTGATTGCCAGAACTCAGAAGCGTCAGGAGACTCGATACTGCCGACATGGAATGGCTCGAATTCAAAGAAATTAATTGATGGACTAAAACCTTAGGTATGCCAGTGAAACAGTTACCAAGCAATAGCAATTGTTTAGCTGTCACCCTTCTGACTAAATCATATTCTGGCTAATCTGTCAGCCCACTGTCAATTTCTCACGAGTTCCGAGATATCCTTGGCAGTAAATACCGTCTACCTTGCAGTTGGCTGAGAGGAGACAGACACAACAAAGCTATATCTGATACATTTCTCGGTAAGACGGCACCTGAACAAGACAAACAAACATCTCTTTGTGTTTCATCGTCGTAAATCGCCGACGCCATTTACTCCGTAAAATAGCACCGGTCCTTTCCTAGGAAAGCCGTTTTAGCGGTCCGCCGGCGCCGGCCTTGTATCCTCCGTCCCCGCCCCAGCAGCGTCATGTCGCCGTACCCAATGACGTCATAACGACGTCCGTCAGCGGCGGCCATTAATCCCGCCGAACTCGTGACCCGACGACCGCCAGTTAACGTACCGACAAAAAATCACCATCAATTATCACACCCCGGGGCTCATATTTCATTATTTATATGGAAAACTAGTTTTACCAACATAATGACTCAGCGTATCAAAAAAGTGTGCCGTAAAATCAATGAAGAATGATAACCTTGCCTTTGTGACTATTGACGCTCTGTAGTCTACTGTTATACAATTTTTGGATAAGTTTCATCAATTTACCTGCCTCCTCTTGCTAGCTTGCTTGATCTGAGTGAGCGCGGCGCACACAGTCCGCACACAGTCCGCACTCAGTCCGCACACAGTCCGCACACAGTCCGCACACAGTCCGCACAATCCGTTCACACATACCTCGAACAGCTCCTTGTTGTGGTCGATCAGGCTGCGGATCACGTTGATGACGTCGATACGCTCGGTGGCCTGCTGGCTCAGCTCGTTGCCCAGCTGGGCCAGCGAGTGCAGGATGTTAGGCGCGAACAGGGTGGCCAGGTTGTTGCTGTCCATACGGTTGCCGGTGAGCCACTCTCCCGCCGGAGTGCGCCGGTCTGCCGCGCAGTCTGCCACCTTCTTCAGGAAGCAGAGCAGCGCCCACAGCGTGTCCCGGTTGGGCACGGCCAGCAGCTGGATCAGGTGCTGCAGGCAGTCAAACTGCTGCTTCCTGTTTCGGATCTCTACGAGCGGAGGGAGGGGGGGGGGGCATCAATCGGAGACGGGCCTGGAGAAGGGATACAAACTCAAACGATCACTACTGCAGCAGAAGGAATAATATTTCTGGCTGTTGAAGAGGGTTCACAGTCAACGAAGTGTTTTGAGTTGAGGCGCTAGAAAATGCATCCATGCAGTTTTCTTTATGTTGTGTACAAACTTGCATTTAATCACCAACACTCACGGACAACACGTCAGCGCCGGCCGGTTGCACCTGCACTGGCCATGACGCCGCCGTGCCCGATGAACATGCTGGTGACACTCACTCTGTGACGCCAGGAAGGGCTGGTAGAGATCGTGGGGCAGCAGCGGCTCGGGCAGGTCGCGGAAGTACTCCTTGATGAGCGTGGCCACGTCGTGCGGACACAGGTCATCGCTGAGCTTCACGTCTGCGCCGCTGTCAAACTCCTCCCGCAGCTGTGTGAGGAAGAGCAGTGTCAGCAATACACATGCTATTTTTCCATCGAGATAAACTGATCCTCAACTAAATCGAGCATAGCAAATAGCGCATCGATACGAGCACGGATTCTCGGGATCTGGCCACAACCTCCAGGCCAAACACATCGAAAGTGCCTATACTGTACAAACAATCGCCGAAGGCATTAAAGCAAACATTACATCAAAGTTCCTCTTCCCCTCAAGAAGTTTTGTTTTGTTGCCCAGGGTGACAATCGTCGGGCAGACGGCCACCCATCAAGTTTGTCTCGACCCCAACCTCACGATTAGAGTCGTCCTAGCAACCACACTATGTAGAAGTAAGCTGCATGTGAAGTTGTGAAGCTGTGTATTGCATGGTAATGCCAGGAGCGAAGTGGATGGGGTAACAATCTTCCCCGTCTGCTGGCTGTAGCTGAACCGTCCAACCGGCAGCGGAAGAGCGCTCCCAAAATACAGACCGATGCCTCGAGCCGCCACCGGATCCGATCATCGTGAGTCACTGCCGGTGTCTGCTCCGTCTCAGTCGGTCGGATCTAGCAGTGAGTCAGTGATACGGCCATCCCTCTCTCCCTCCTCCTTCTCCTCTCCCTCTCCCTCCGACCGCGCGGTCGGTTGCAGCGCGCCGGCCGGCGTCTGTCTGACATTCAGCTCGTGCTGGCACGGACCCCGACCGGCGGGCGCGGGGCGCGGCCGCACGACCGCGGATTCCGAGCACACTGTGCACCTAGACGGGCCACCGAGCCGCCCCACGACCCGGCACACCCGCTGGGCAGCGGCTGGGGTTGCAGACGGTGGAATGTGAGAGGTAACCGGCGGCAGATGCGGGGTGTTAATGGATCGTCAAGGCGGATCGTGGTGATGTGTGGAGCCGGCGCACTCCCAAAGAATGTCGGTACGTGCTGACCTCTGAATTACGGTCAGGGTTAGGCGTGAGGTCGCTATTGCATGCTAATTTTAGGTGTGCACTGTGCAATAAGCACTGTGCACTATGCAGTGTGTATGTCATAGATACATGAATTGGGGATGAGTGGGACAGTGTCTATTGCACGGTTTCTTGTCTAGTCGTCCATTCAGGTCAGTTGATCAGTTATCCCGTAGCGGTCAGCCAGTCGGTCAGCGGCCAGCCGTCTAAATCTACATGCTTTCATCCCCCTCGTATCCGCCTCAGCCGGTCTCACCTGTCTGGCCCGTTTCTTGCTGCTGCTGACGCGGAAGATGCCGACCGTGTGCAGGCCGTGCGTCTCGATGTGTCGGATACAGGCGGTCACCAGCTGCGGCACCTGGGGCACGTGCGGCTGGAGGGCGGCCTCGGCTCCTGCGCCGCCGCCGTCCGAAGCCAGCGACAGACTGCTGTCCTGCACCGAGCTGCGCTTCTCCATGATGTTCAGAGACTCGCACGAGCCGCTCGTCTGGTGATGGAGGGTACAGACGGGTGGTTAGAATTGGAGGGCGAGCACGTAACGCACAACATAGCAGACATTCTGATGTTTTGACTGCGAAATGCAAACTACTGTCAACAACCTAACATTTTGAGGAAACACACACTTTATGACATTAACAAACATTCATTCACTAATACTTGAACACTGAACAGAGCTTGCATTATTATTCAAACATCAATTACCCACGGTTCGGCCAACTGCTATCGGCTAACCTTACCAGATACCGCTATTTGTCAGTCAGTTCGTCTTGTCAGTTCGTCCGTGTGTCTGCCTTTTACGCGATCTGTCCCAGACTACCCGTCCGTCTATCCGTTCGTTTCCACATTTGTCATTTCATCCCCACATCCGTCTCTGCTATATACATTACATATGTATATGCTCCGTCCGACGCATTAGTAATACCATGGCCCTTTATACCCTTATGATGAGTAATACGCATGCCTATATAGGTACGCGGCACAGATGAAATGCTCTCTCCGGATCCATACTGGGAATGGACGCGATACTACACGCACGCAACACGCACTGCAAGTATAGGTACAGCTCAGGTCCCTGCTCTGATCTGGAAAGTCACTCAGTCTTGAAAGCCCTTCTGTCTACGTATTTGTTCTCCAGGACCCAGGTATCATGACATTCTAATTCGACATGAGAGATGTTCCTGTTAGCATGAGCAGCTTGTAAAACACGGTGCCGTGCTGACAAAAGGATGTAAATGCTTTGCACCTGTGACATTGTTTTTACAGTGTCTAAATCAGTTTTGCTGTCTTTGATTATTGACAGTCACAGCTGAAAATTGGAATGCATTTGTTTCCGGATTGGCATATCAAGTGAACAACAGTTTCAGACGGTAAACTAAACATATTAACCCGCGAGTTGCTGGGGGGGGGGGGGGCGTTAAACGCCCCCACTTTTTTCGCCGGGCCATAGCATAAAAACGGCGCGCCGCAGGCGCGCCGAATTTTGGGTACCTGTAGGGAATTGATTGAAGTTTATTGTGACAAAGTTTCAAAAAAATCGGTCGGAAAATTTTTGAGATATCGAGGTTTTAGTGACGTCATGATTTCTGAGTTTTCGACCAAAAACGGCATATGTTCAAAAAATCATATAAAATCACAGAATAGACATATAGACAAGCCGTAAACGCCATTAGACTGCCAATACCATGGAGAATCAAATGGCTATCTTCGATTATTGATTATCGTTCCGAATTTTCCAAAATCTTGAACTGAATCTTGGCAATTTCTCGTGACTTCTTCACGACCATGATACATGAATTTCTTGAATTGAACTTTTTTAGCCAAACACGTACACATATGATAAAATGAATGTCACCATCGTGTTCTACGCCCCAAATTACCCATAAAACATGTGTCACAGGCTGCGAATATCAGTTTTTATTTTCGGGGATATGTGCCTGCCCGGTTGACCTGACCTTGACCCTGACCTATGCTTGACTGACCCCTGCATGGAGCTGACACTCTTGTAGGCCTTATATGATGGATTGTGCACCGTTTTGACAGAGTTTATGACGAGAGGCGCCCATTGCGAAGTCCTGAAGTCCATGCTACTGAAAGCCCGATTTCAGGTGTTTGACCTGACCTTGACCTGACCTGTGACCTCAAAATTCAACTTTAAAGTACTCATCTGAAGCGTCTCGTCGCGTTCTTTCGTTTGCCGCCTCGTGCGTTTCGCTGCGCCTATTGGTTCTCGAGTTATCGGCTGGGGGCGTTTAACGCCCCCCCCCCAGCAAACGGTGGGTGGCGAAATACCCCAGCAACTGCCGGGTTAACGTGCCTTACTACCAGGAAAACATTTGTGTTGTGCCAAGGACAAGGGGTGATTTTCAATTAAAACAGAACTTTGACCGGGGCCGGATAGAGAAAACATATATCGCTAATATCGACAACCACCGCATCCCAAGTGCATAAGTTTGGGTGCATCGTGTGGCGTTGTAGTGGGTGTGGCTGCAACCGCAATATCATCAATCATCATTCAGTGGGTGAAGAACTACAGACGTCAGACAACGTCCTCTATACGCTCTACAATATTCAGAAACCCTCTTCTGGCGCCTTCAACTCTACACTCCGCCGCAAATCTTTAATTCATTCGGCAACAAGTAGAAGAAGGTATTCACTATTCGCCCATAATGCTTATCCGATTTAATGACACATTCCATTATCGCTTATCCCGTTGTTGCCTTTATTTTAATCTTGCATACTGCTTTCTTGGCCTTGGGTATGTTCCGAATATTAAAATGTGTGTACGTCAAGACGGACAAATTCTTTGATAACTTGTGTTTTTCATTAGACATCAAAAGAGTTCTAGTTTAGAGTTCTAGAGAGTTCTAGGGTTAAATAGTGGTTCCATATAGTTTTTTTCTACATTCGTCCTTCACGACATAAGTTTTCAGATGTAACGTTTATCCAATTTTACAGGTCTGTCATACCGTCTTCTTTCTTTGATAGACAGACGCAAGCGTTGTTTTTTTCTCTCTCGCTACGCAAACTTGCGGATGACGTCACAATGCGACCTTGACGCTGCCGCCGGCGCCATCGCCGAAGGGTGTGGTACGTGCGGGGGCGGGGCTGTCGGGGCGGGGGCGGGGGCGGGGGCGGGGCGCTGAGGGCCGCCGGCTGGGCTCCTCGGCCGGCCGCTGGCCGGTGTTTATGTCTCAGCAGCTCGGCGGCGGCGCGGCGGGCACCCGGCCAGCCGCGGCGCGCAGATTCAGGACCGACGCCGCTAAAATAATCCAGCCACCTTCTGCCGCTGGGCGAAAATAGGGCCGCTGCTGGCTGCCGGGCGGCCGCCGAGACCCGCTCAGCTGGCGGACAGTCAGCTGACGCGCCGAGCCGGCGACGCGAGGCGGCCGACCGACCCGCGCCGCCGCCGGCTATTTACAAGCGGCCGCCACTATACGCAACCGAAGTCGTGACGTCACGATAAGGGGCTGGGGCATAATCAGCTGACGGCCCCGTGCTAAAGCAATGGGGCAATATTTTGCCGATCTTTCCCAAGAAAACTGGACCTAGTTAGATAGTTTTAGTAGCTGAATTTAGGACAACGATGTATGATCTATTTTTCTATGAAAAAATATTGCAAAATCTAACAACGCAAAGCACAAAATTTCGTGAAAACCTAATTGGCGGCGAAGTTGACGCAGAAATACAAAACATTTTAGATCAAGAGGTTTAAAATAATGGATTTAAAATAAAAAAGATTTTCAAAATAACTTATATGGTGAATTTTCTCCTTGGCTTTTTACAAATAAAAAAATATTTATCCAGCTCAAACTCAAATATGTCAAACCTTACGCATCAAAATCCTCCCGACGCGGTCACAGTTCGCATCTCAAGGTCATGTATTTGGTGCGTCAAGTTCGCCGCCCGTAACAATATCGCGAAATTCGGTCCTTTCCGCTTTGAAACATAGCATTTTTTGGGCGTAGAAAAATAGAATATACTCAGTTTACCTAGAAACTGGCCCCCAAACTATCTAAGTAGGTCCAGTTTGTTCTAAAAATGCTGATAAAATTTCATCCCATTGCTTTAACACAGGGCCGTCAGCTGATTATGCCCCAGCCACTAGTCATGACGTCACACTTCGGTTGCGTATGGCCCGCTGTCGGACGCGTCAGCGCCGCCGGCGCCGATGACGAGCCGCCGCCGGCGTCATCGGCCGCGCTGGTGACTGCAGCGTCCAGCGCGGCGCGCGGCCCTCCGTGCGACCCGTCGAGCCGACGCTGGCGACTCACCACCATCGTCGCGTCGGTCCCAGATTGCCAACAGGTGATTGGCACGGACGCCGGCGCCCGGCCGACTGTCAGCCCGGCCTGGGTGACGTGCGCCGTCAGATAACGGCCCAAACCCGACACCCCGCGCGGCCCACCTGAATTATTGTGTGAAAAATGTTCTTTGGGTATCGAAAAATCTTAATTTCTTTCTCCGAGAAGCCATTTTCGAGCCGTTTTAATTGGATAAGTTATTTCAGAAGTTTGAAGAACGAGGCGGTCGGCTGACATGTGACTAGTGTCAGACGGTAGGCCGATTCGGTCGCCGATCGCTGACCCTCTCTGGAACCGGCGACACCTCCGATAACGGGTGGCGCCCGCCGCCGAGGGGGGCGCCGAGCGGTGTGCATTCCGCCCTCGGCGGCGATTTAATTTTACCGGACCGGTGCGCGCAGCTCGATTTGTTGGACCTGATACCGAGCGCACTAACGACCTGCTCGTCTATGCCGAAAATGCGGCGAGCTATTCGAGCCGGCGCCCCCCCAAATTACGGAAATCCCGCTGACACGGCGACACGTCAGTCTCTGAGCGCTCCGCGGTGGCCGCGGCCGGTGACAGCAGCGGCGGGGTGGTGCTAGTGCTGCTGGTGGCGATCGGTGGTGCTGGTGGCAGTGGTGATGGGGTAGTGGTGATGGACGATGGTGATTGTGGTACAGCAGTGGCGTTGGTGAGGAAAGTGACGAAGCAAGTGCCATGGTCACCACTAGATGCCATACCGAATGATAAACACTACAATTTGACGGCCAATCTGTGAGGCACAAATAAGAACATCCCCACCTATAGCCGTCTGCTGTCGAGCCTAAAGGATCGGGGCTGGCGAGTAACTCTCTCAATTTCCCGGCTAGTCTGTACACTAAAAAGGAAGGTATTGAATGTTGACACAAAGATCAAGCGCTGGGAGACGAACTAACGTCTGAGAAGAAATATGACTAAAGGAAGGTTGGTGTGTGAACGGATAGGAGGAACGAACGTCTCAGTTCGTTTTCATTGCTATTCCAAGACCAACGCCTTTTGAAAATTCCTACAATTGTCGCAACTACCCGCTGTCATTCCGCCATACGGTCGCATGTTCCGAAGTATCAAGCACCAAGTCCCTGATAAAACCGAAACACTTCCTTTCCATATCTTCCTAAATAGCGTCACATAAAGCGCCACGTCAGGTCATGTTCCTTCCCAGTCACGTCACATCACACCCCTTGGCCACGCCTACGCCCCTCACCTTGTCTCTGATGGCGTCCATTAGGGAGGAGAAGGAGGCGTGGCTGCCGCCGTGGGACGACTTCCTGCTGAGCGGCTCGTCGAGCCGGTCTCGCAGCGGCGAGCCGCCCCGGCCGCGCAGCCGGCGGTCGTTCTCCATGCACGTCTTGAGCGGAATGCCGAATACCAGGCCCTGGGCGTTGTTGTTGTTCCCTGGAGGTCGGTGGGGTCGGTCAGGTTATCTCGGTGCGCTGAGAGGGGCACTGGCAGTGGGCGGGGCCGGATCAGGAGGGGAGGAGAGGGAGGGGGGGGGGCGACCGAGGACGGACGGTCGTCAGTTCACGCACCGCAGAAGAATAGCTCCACTCCGTTGCCGAGCGAGCTGTTTACGCTATTCTCTCGGGAGTGACGTCATGCGTCTGTCAAACAACAGGGACAAACCAAGCACCAGGATAAACAGGGCGCGCCGAGAGAATGCTGGCCCGTGTGCCCCCGTCCCGCCCTGCCACCACTGCTCTCCGACTCTGGCGGGAAGGTCAGAGGGGTGGTTACCTCTGGGTAGGTGGTTGACCTGGTCAAGGCCATCAGTGAGCAGCTGTACACAAGGTTTGCCCATGTTTACGTGTGGGCAAGGCCGGTTCTGAGGTAGCTTGATCGTTGTATTGTATTGTATTGCATTTACGATCATGGGCGATCCACACATGGCGTGGCGATTACTGCCCAGCAAGTGTGATGGCATATCTGTGAGGCCGGACGGTCTGTCTGTGCAGGTGTTCAAGATTTACCTGTGGACCGGCTCGGGTCTGAGGCCGCGCTCGTCAAGGACGGGTGTGTGGGTTACCTATGACCAGGCCGGCTCTGAGGTTGGCCATTTGGTCTGTATCCGCCGACCGACGTCGAACAGGCGGTCTGCTGACAGGTTTATCAGGCTCGCCGGATACCGGCGTCAGGTCGGTCCGGGCCGGCCGCGCGCGCGTGCCGCACTGACACATGACCACCGAACCGTCTGTCATGCTGTCTGACAGTTGGATGTGACTCACGGCACCCGGCTGAATCATGCCAAAGCACTCAGTCTCAAGATGTAAATAAAACAAATGTCATGCGTCAAGATCAAACGCGCCGTTTGGAAATGGCACGGTGCAGTGACAATACGACATCAAAGACAGCTAAACAGACACGGTAATCTGAAATCCGACTTGAAACGACACTTATTCGTCAGTTGTCAAACACAGAAACTTGTGAATCATGGTTGTTCTGCCAGATAAGACTAGTGGCATTCAGAATTCGTATTTTTGTGACACCTATTTATCCAACGTAAGCAAACATGGGGCTAGGCTATGATCATATCTCCACCTTCAACTCCTATAGCTATCACTGTTCCCGTCTTCATGCCACCAGCAGACACCATATCCCCTCTCGCCTCTCCAGCCCGCTCCGCAGTTTCGCCCCAGTCACCGCGCCGGCCCCGTTGTCTATCGCCTGGCGGCCAGACGGGCCGCTTTGCGGTGATGTCGGGGCGTCGCTTCCACCGCGAATTCGCCGGCCTCGGCTGGCAGATCTATAAACCTGCGATCCAAACAGTTTGGAGAGCAGCCGGACCACCCGCCAGCGTCGAGAGCCGGTCGGTGACGTCACGGAGGCACCCTGCCAGCCGCCCGGCCGCCCGCCCGCCGGCGAATTGACTCCAACTTCTGGAAACGGGCCGGCCGGCTCGAAACATGACGACCGGCTGTGCGACGCCCGCATCGGCCCGCGGGGTGGTCCGTCAGAATCTCCAAGTGGAACATGTTCAGGTGTCGGCCCGTCACTCATCTCTTCTCTCTTTCACGCGCAATTCCGTTCGTCATTTCGGTATGACGCCTCTTTCCTCGCCGTCTCTCTCTCTCTCTCTCTCTCTCTCTCTCTCTCTCTCTCTCTCTCTCTCTCTCTCTCTCTCTCTCTCTCTCTCTCTCTCTCTCTCTCTCTCTCTCTCTCTCCCTCTCTCTTTCTTTCTATCTCTCTCCCTCACTCTCTCTCTTTCTCCTCTCCCTTCCTATTTCTCGTTTTTTTTTTTCCCGGCTTCTCTCTTTCATTTTCTTCAATAGGAGTGTGAAGCTCGAAGGTATTTTGATACCACTTGGCCATCTCTTCAACTCTAATCCTTTGCCTCTTTCTCCGCTGTAATGCTCCGATGTCGAACATTTTCTTTTACCACTCTTCGATCGCCTATCGTTACTAATTCCTCAGTTGTCTTTCATGTAACAATTATTTTTGGAAACAATAGCTGAAGGTACTTTTCTGCTTCTTCAGATACTTTTAAATGACATTTTCATCTAATATTTATGAAGCTAGTTCCAGGTCACAGTACCACATCCTTTCAACTGCAATATTCGCAAGACGCACGACACGCACACTCACGTCACAGCGCCGTTTTATGCTCATCACACCGTTCGTTCACCGTCTCACCTTTCTCGTCCCGTTTGGCCGTATCGAAGAAGCCGGTGGTGAGCGGCCTCTTCTTCAGCAGGTAGGGTCTCCGTTTCGGCTTGTGGCCGGCCGTCACGTTGAAGTCTGCCAACAGAGGACAATAAACACTCAGTGTCCTGCGCCGCGGGGTGCCACGGGAATGCGGCAGAGGCGGTGCGGCGCGACGCCAGCGGCTGGAGCAGCTCGGCCGGACAGCTCCGGACAGCACCCAGCCCGTGTCCCCGGCCGGACAGGACAGTGTCCTCCACCGGACAGGACAGTGTCCTCCACCGGACAGCGCTGGCCGCGCCCGACAGTACCCCCGGACGGACAGCGCTGTCCGCGCCCCGGCAGTACACCCAACCGGACAGCGCTGGCCGCCCCCGACAGTGCCCCTGGACGGACAGCGCTGGTCGCGCCCCGACAGTGTCCCCGGGCGCTAACAGCCGCTAAATGTCGCCCGTATCAGGTCACGGTTGCCGCCCAGTCTGAGACCACGCCAAGACCAACGCTAGCGACGCTGAATAATGTCACACTTTAGGAGACTGTATTCTCATTGTTTTGGTGATGCAATGACTGACAAGGTTGAGTTGGTGTCACTGCTGCTGCCTGCTGGCGCTTAGCTTATATTTATGATACAAACTAACTGTATGTAACAGACATGCATGTTTATATTGTGAAATGCTGTTATTTTGGCAACGCCGAAGTTCTTGCAAATAACATTCTGAGCATTTAAGCTCCGGTATACTAACTTAGCCGAGTAAAATAAACGGTTTGATTAAAACTAAACGGTATGTACAATAAAGTCGGTACGGAGCATGTCAAGCTTCAACTGAGGTGCGATCTCACTCGTATCAGTTGTGATGGCGCATTTCATAGCTTTACTTAATAATTAATAACCACTTTAGAGCAATGGCATCCATTTCAACACCTTATTGTTCGTTCATTGCTCCTTGAAATGAGGTAATTGACAAGCAGTATAGGGCAATGCATATGTAGGCTGTAGCTATATCAGCAAATCTAGGCAATACAAATCCTCAATAGCACATAACCTAGAAGCCACCTTGGTCTTTCTGCAAACGCACCTTCAAATATTCATCTTATCCTGGCTCCCATTCAACTTCTACAGTGCCAGTCGCCCATCTCAACGTCCCGGCCATATGCCTGTACTGGTATACTGCGCCGCAAGGCCGCTATGTGATGCGGGATAGTCTAACTGTGTCGATTCGAGCCAGACAGGCCTCGCTGAAGGCTGTGGCACTGTCCCTGGACTTGATGAATTGCTGTTTCTTTGCAATTTTGACAACCGTTAACTCAACTTTGCTGGTATTTACGATGCACCGACTACATTTATAAATGAGTAATTCAGTGGCGTTGTTTTTTCTTATTTACAAACGTATGTGGCATCAACATAAATAATAGTTTAAGGGTTTCAGAATACGCTCTTAGATCTTTTAAATCTTTCTTCTTTCTCTCTCCCTCTTACTCCCTCTTCTTCATTTACCCTCTCCCCTTCCCTTCCCCTTCCCTCCTTCTCGATCTCCCTCCATTCTCTATCTCCCTCCCTCCTTTTCACTATCGTCTATCTCTCACCTTTGGGAATGCGCACAGTGCAGCCGAGGTTGAAGTCAGCCAGCCGCTGCAGGGCCACCTGCTGCACGGCGGCTGCCTCCATCTCCGTCAGCTGCAGGAGTGTGGTGTCGCACAGCGTCACCACCCGGCTCTGGATGTTTACCCACTGGCAGCTGCCCTGAGAACGCCACAGAAGGGATGGAGTCAGTGGTCACGGTCACTATTCACTCACTGGAAGCTGCCCTGAGAACGAGATACACAGCGAGTTAGGTCATACTTCACCTACATAGGAGGCTGCCCTGCAAACGCGATACAGAAGGGATAGGTCACACTTCACCGAATGGATTGGGAGGCTGCCCTAAGAACATGCCACACAGGGGAACCAGTCACACATCACCCACTGGCAGATGCCCTGCAAACGTGCCACACAAAGAGGATAGGTCACACTTCACCCACTGCTGCCCTAAGAACGTAACACACGGTGGACATGGTCGCACATCATCCAATGGCAGAGCTGCCCTGAAAACGCACCAACGTAGAACAGGTCACACTCCACTCACGGACAGCTGCCTTTAAAACGCAGCACAGAGTTGCTAGGTCACACTTGGCCTCAGAGAGCAGAGCAAGGCAACCCACACCTAATGGATGGGCCCTGTGACAGGCGCCGCGACAGCAAACTATGATATGGAAACGAATGTATGGGAAACACAATGCCAACGACAAGCAGCCGCCCGAGCTATTTATGTCGAGTAACTAAGAGGGTGTTTTGCAGCGACGTCATGTGGTCGGAGATGTATTAAATCCATCACTAGTGTGTTTGGAAACACAAGGGGAGTATGCGGGCTGCATACCGTTGGCTGATGCAAGCCGAGTCGGGGTCTCGCTCCTGACAACAAGTGGTATATTTGGCGTCGACGCTAAACGCTCCCACTATTTGGACCATTCGACCGAAACGGATAGCGGTCGGCACGTCGACATCTGACTGAGCCCGAGTCGTTTCTCACGGGCGCCAGTCACGTGTTCAGGTCAGGGGCCACGCCCACATTGCCCATCTTTCACCTCCCTCTGTGGCGAAAAACTCTGACCCGCCAACAGAAAAGACTGGCATTCAGTTACAACGGAACAGTGGACAGGCGACGGGGCTTGGTACCGTGAAACAGATAAACGCATCAATTAAGTAAGTGTCAATAATAAAACACACGGTAAAACATTACCTTGTTTGTAATCGGTTTAGAAAATTATGCACAGGTAGGGCTTATTTTGTTTTGTTTGCGATACATACTTGTGAGTGGCGCACGCTCAAGGTCAAGTCAAGGCAATCAAGGTCAGACACATTTACATAGAAGTGTTTCGTGTAGCTTTTGAGGATTGGTCCAGCCCTCGAATAAGTCTTGCACAGTTTTCAAGTTCGATTTTCTGTTCAGCCGGCACAGCACTTCTGTACTCGGAAGACGTCTCCCTGTCCTATAGCCCCAAAGCCCTGTCGAGAGGCTTACACAAATCAAAAAGTAAAATCAGTCTGGAGGGTTGTTCCATTGGTTGATAAGATTTAGTGCAAATTTTGTAGTCCTGGCAAAGAATCTATTATTGAAGTACTGTTGCTACAGAGACCAAAACAAAAAGGCACCTGCGATATCTTTGATGCATTTCACAAGGCACAGCCCCGAGCCCCATGCTACTAATAGCTTGCTTTGATTCAACAAGCTTATTCATTTGTTACTTACCAAACTAGGACATATTTGTGTTTTGTGCGTTCGTATGTATAACTTGTGTGCGTCTGTTATTTTGTGTTTGGTGTGTGTATGTTTCGTGTATATTTTCTGACAGTCTCGTATCCACTGTGCCGGCTCACTGAGCCGATTCCCAGAGACGTGTATCGCGAGGCGGGGTGTGTTGTTTTGGCCTGGTATATCCATGGGCCATGGATGATACAATAGCGCCTGCTTTCTATGCTTTTTATTTTAGTCACCCATATTTTCTCACCCGGTTTATAAGAATAATCAGAAGACATATTTTGTGAGAAACAACAGCAAGTACTATCAAAACTGTGTTACATATACTGGCAATTTGTTTTCATTGTCCTCTCCTCGGCAGCTGCGGTGGTCACTGAGCACTGAGCAGTGGTGTCCGTTCCGCCCCGTGTGTGGCACCTGTGCCGCCTGCCCTGCACGCCTACCGACACGCGCTGCAGCATATGCGAGCCGCGCGCGTGCCGGGCCGTTAAGCAGGCCAGCCGAGTCAGACCGACCGAGTTGGCATAGTGCGCCCAGCTGCCGGCGCTGCCGCCGCGCCGCCAACAGTCACATGAGATTCCGGCCGCGGAGGTGGCCAGCCGATGCACGCCCACCCCGCCCCCGCCCTCCGGCAAGGCCGCCCGCCTGCCGCCGGTGCCCCCGTGACAACACCCGGCAGGGGGCCCGGCGCCCCAGCGGCGGCCCGAGCAGGGCGAGGCCCTGGCACAACACCGGTATGTCGGTGAGTCAAAAGGGCAACGATATTTTCGATCACGTCTTTGTTCGTGTTGTGCTTAATTTCACAATCCAGCCAACAATGCCAGCGGTGATTTATATTGCTGCCAAGATGAAAAGACTGTTAAAGACAATAATAAGCGCTTCTGGGAAATTCTCGAACTGATGCAAGAATCCTATGCAACCGGTGACGCTTGACGTCCCATGATCGTTCGATGTTCCGATGGTTCCAGCCGCCTGCGGTCGCCAGTCGACAGACTTCAATATATCACCCTCAGCCGCAGACTCATCACCATAGCCAACGCACAGCGAAACCCTCTATCGGCTAATGGGTGCATTGTCTACGAACGAGTCGGCCTGTAGGGCGATCTATCTGGTGAGTAGAACATCCAATGCGATCTACACAGTCGCGCAAGGAAATTGTAACGCCGTGGCTAATGATTCGTGGCAGTTAATTTCCTCGTGCTTGGGCGATTTGGAGGAAGGGTTTGCTGTGCGAATAGATGATCTCTAGGAGGGTAAGCTTCGGCCGGTGTCTGACCGTGACCTGGGCCACTGTTGTGCGCCGACCCGCCCGGCCGGCACCCTGTGACCTGGCACGCGCCCCGCGCCGTCACAGGCGGATGGTGCGCCCCGCGCCGAGCCGGCGGCGGCCGCCACTGTTTGTCTTGGACCGCCGCTCCGACTCCGGGCGAGACGGCGGCTGTAGCGGACGGTTGTGCCGCCCAGGGTTGTATACGAATCAATCAATAGCAATCAATTCAATCACGACAAATTTGGGAAACCAATCAAATCAATCAAGTCAGAGCAGTTTTCGGGAATTGATTCAATCGACTCAAACGCGACAATGAAAGGAATCAATCAACTCAATCAAACGACTCAAACCAAGACATACATTAGGTTTTTTGCCCCACCAACTTGGAAAAGTGTCCATAGCAGTCTGGTGTACCTACCTACCTACCTACCTACAGAAGAATCATAAAAATATTGTCATTTAAAATTATAAATTGCCATGCCATTCAAAGATTCTATGTAATAAGGAAGGATACCTAGTGATGAACAGGTGGATCATGATATTGAGGTTCAATGGGTAGAATTGGAGCAGAAGTTTCATTTAATGGGTGCAAAATAACCCAGTAGTTGACTCGCCCCTTAAAGGGACCCGCCCACCTTAACATTAGATTTGAGTTGAGATAGCCAAAATGGGGTCCCTGGCTCACAATTACCGGTTTCGGCACTCACAACATCGAGAAATGCCTTAAATCGGAAATATTGAATTTCAAAATTGCAGCATTTTGATTCAGAGGGACTAATGCATAGGAATACCCCTCTGAATGTGTGACGTCAGCGCAGATATCTAACGATTTTTAAATGTTTGACTAAAACGTTTTGTAGCACGCGGTGGTATATGCTGCTTTGCGCGCAACAAACGCCGCACTTTCAAATAAACTCGCTAGGAACAGCGGAGATCCCAAAAAGTAAACAAAAGTAAAAGTCTAATATCTTGAAAACCGGTGAATATTTTTCGATGAAATTTGGTAGATATTCGTTTTTGCTCTTTCTGAACCGAGCGACATCACTTTCATGCCAATTCATTAACTTTTTTGAAGGTGGGAGGGTCCCTTTAACCCAAATCACCACCTTTCACCTAAAAGTTGTCAATTTAATTTTGGCCATATTCCAGCTAAGTCATCAGGCCATCTACCCCATGTAAAACCCCTGTCTGTCTCTTATGTGAGTTATGCGGAGCTCTTCTGAAATGAACCCTAAACATAATGAACCTAGCTAGGTTTCATGCCACACTGACACCATATGAAAGTGTTGAAATGTGCTACAAATTTGACTTCATTAGGTATGCTTTAGGAAGACAGCAGGAAAGCAGGTAGGTACCTACTTACCTGCCTAGATGTGTCACTGTCTACCAGCAGTACCAACGAAGGTAGATAGGTTATATGTGAAGAATTCAAAACATTTTATTGCAATGCAATTTGAAACTGTTAGGACTGGGGGATAGGGATGAGGATTAAAAATATATTTTAAAGGAAATGGAGAGGACAGGGACTCTGAAACCACAGGATAGCAGGGAAGGAAGCAGGAACAAAAAAATTAAAACGCGAAAACGGCACGGTGCGACTGCGAAAAAAGCAAAACAAACGTTTTGCCAACAAGAATGCTAAGCTTTTATAAATCCTTATTCTACATCTTTTGATTTTTTGGTAAGATGACGTCATTGATAATCATGCAGTATGGTAGATTATCATAAAATAAATCGGTTGTACAACACCAATTTCGTTTTAATTATTATTTCATTTGAAATAAAACCACTTTATAATATTTGGTAAAATATTTTAAGGAAAATGAAATATATTAAATATGTTATGCTTAGGCTCTCAGGAGAAAAGGATCAACAAATGTTCTGCTGCAAATTAAACAATGCAGCAAATTTAGCGAGACGAAAACGGCGCTTTTGTTTCAGTTATTTTTGTAGGGTTTTGTGGGTTGTTTCTGAGGAGATGTGGAGATGTGAATTATTAATTATTCACACTGTATTAGTATATAGGGCCTTGCACTTTATCATCTGGATTAAAAAAAAACGTTTCCTGGTGAGTGCAGAAAGGTAGGTAGGTGCATTGCCAGGTTCTATCACCAGGATTGGAGCAGTTATTGCAGTTGAAAGTCAAAGTTGGCTGTTCATGTTTAGGCCCTGTTC